CCCCCCCCCCCCCCTAGTACTAAATGATCATCATTGAGTCAAGGTGCTTCTCTTTACTTTAAAAAAAAGTAAAGATAAAAAACAAACAACCTCTGTTAGCTTTGTAGGCAGGGTCGACGCAGCCTGTGTTGTAAGTGGTGTCAACTTTGGTTCTACGGATAATAATAATAACAAATAATAAATGACATTTATATATAGCTCTCAACCCCGAAAAAAGTACACAGGCTCTGAGCGCTTTACAATACAGTACAACATACAACAGTAACATGAAACGCTGTGTTCTGACTAAAGAAAACATTTTCATATATTCATCTTATTAATTTAAAAATAGAACCGACTTCAGCTGACATTTGAATGAATCAAAAGACTTGATCTATCTCAAAGTACTTGGTAAAGCATTCCAGATCTTGGGGACTTGGGGCCTTGGTATTCAAATGCCCTTTCACCTATTGTTTTAAGTTTCATAGATGGTAAAATAAATTTCTTTTTATCAGCTGATGACCTTAAACTGCGAGTTGGAAAGTACAGTCTAAACAGATTTGATAAATATGATGGTGCATTATCACATTCAAATATTTGTGACAGAGGGTGGCCAACTTGTACACAATTCTTTTCTCAACTGGAAGCCAATGCAAAGTTCGTAAAAGAGTTTTAGCAGAGTCTCGCTTTCTTTTCCGTAAAACTAAACATTGGATTCAAAACATTGACAGTTTTTTTCTTCTCTTTTTCTTGTAGCGCTTTTAGAGACAGGTTTCTAGTTTTATCTTTTGCAACTCAATATAACACAAAATAATGGTTTCTTTCAAATCCCCCTTAAACTCAGCGTTTTTGAAAAACATGACAGTTTGAATACATGTATTTTTCTATCATTATCTGGGGATACTTAATGACCTGATAATTTTGATCATCATCGTCATAGCAATAATTATCGTCATCATCATAGCATTAGCAGTATTGTCAAAGTACACATATTGGCAGCGTGGTGGAATCAGGCTCTCGTCAAAATAATCACAGTCACAGTGAAGAAACTGGCATTTTTTTCGCTGGTTCGTGAATTTTTATCAAATTTTTGTTTTTTTGGCTCAACACCTTTCATGCCCATTAAAGAACTCATTTCTGTGTGGATTTTTCGGAAAAACGTTGATTAAAGGCACACAAAAAATGTAAATTTTCAGTAACCACGGACTCTTGAGCTAAGGAAATAACTAATTTTTGGCGGCCATATTCTCACTAATTTTACCTCTGAAAATAGGTGACCCCCACCTCCTTCTTTCGCAAATATGTCGACTTGTATTCAAGATAAATGGATATTTTAAAAAAAAATTCAAATAAAGACAAGTGAACAAGCTTTAAGATGATACCAATACCTCTACACGCCCAAAAATTGACGAGAGCCTGATTCCACCACGCTGCCTCACATATGATGTAAGCCTCCATTCCCATTTTTTTCTTTTTTGGGGCATCGTCTGGCAGACCGTGGGAGGAAAACGTTATAGGCGTACACATGTGTACTGTATGTACTGTATTCTAAACTGGGATAAAGAAAACTTTATATTATAGGCCTACACATGTGTACTGTATGTACTGTATTCTAAACGGGGATAAAGAAAACTTTATATTATAGGCCTACACATGTGTACTGTATGTACTGTATTCTAAACTGGGATAAAGAAAACTTTATATTATAGGCCTACACATGTGTAG